GAGTGTGTGTGATCTGGATCGTTTATTATAGTGATCCCTAGACTCAGGTTAGGGTCTACTGAGGCTCTAACCCTCCCTAGGGTGGTTACAGAAAGCTTGGTCCCCTCCTACCCAATTTATCAGAAGATTAGCACAGACACTTTCTCATCTTCACATACAGTGACACACATTTATAGATATATTTTGACACACAAAGAGTCATTCTCAGCCAGTCATTCATGTCAGAATATACACACTCGTATATAGTGATGCATACATATGTATGCAAATATACCCTTTCTCAATGCAGCCTTTCATAAAGATCTTTCTATTTCTTTCTCTTATATTTATATTCATGCTGGTTCAGAAACAGTCAAGTGCCCCTTGGTACATAAGTTGAGAGGGTATCTGTCTTGGCAGACAGAAGTGGGCATCCACTGAGTGAGTAGAGACACATGTCTGGGAGAAGGTGGTGGCTGAGTGAGAATAGGTGGGTGGATGACAGAGTGACCGAGTAGGAAGAAGAACAAGTAATCAGCTGTGATAAGATTCTAGAATATCATATTTTCCAACCTTTTAACTCTCATTATGGCTTTCCTTTGAACATTCTCCAAGTCTCATATCTCTCTTCTCTTTGTCTAGCAATCTTTAGCTCTCTATGTCTCAGTCTCTCTTCCCGTGTGTGAGTACGAGTGTGAGTGTGTGTGTGTGTGTGTGTGTGTGCGCGCGTCTCTCCCATGACAAAAAGCTTACTCTAGTGCCAGGTAATATTTTATAGCAATAAGATCCCTGATATGTAACTGTAACATTTAAGAATTATTAGTAGTAATGAATTTGTGGAAATATAATGAGAAAAAGAAAATGTGCTTGTTTATTCCTTTCAGGAAATTCCTCTATTCCCCCTGGTTTTCATCAGCTATATTTTTGGCAGGCTGTGGGCATGGAAATGTGAAGACATCACTCTCAAACAGAATTATAATAATCACATCTGATTTATATAGATGTCACCATAGGGTTAGGCAGTTGGAAAATCTAGCATTCAAAATGAATAGGCACTTAAAATTAAGGACATGCCATATTTTTGCTAACACTCTAGTTTTGAACATTGTCAGTAGTTCACAGGAACTACTAAGACATTAAGAATACTGGAGAAGTAAAAGACATGGTTTCTGGCCTCAAGGAGTTTATAGTATAGTTGTAATGTGTTGGAGTAGCCTTACGCTGTTTGAATTGAACCCTAAAGAACAGGTAGAATTCCTAAGCAGACCAAGGGAAGAGCACTAGTGAAAATTCAGAGTCAGAAAAGAGAATGGTATGTTTAGCAGACAGTTAGGAGGCTTGTCTGGGTGGCTGAAGTAGCATGTTTGGGTGGCTGAAGTAGTGTGTTTGAGAGGAGTAGAAGGAGAAAAAAATGGGCAGCACAGGAAACAAGTTATACAGGACTTAGAATATTGAGTTGAAGTCTGTCAGCAAAAGAGATCTACTGAAATGTGACCTATTTCTATAAAGTCAAAATTTATTAAAAAAATATCAATCTTTTGTAAGGAAAGAAATTCATGTGCTAATGAGGAATGCCCATATATCATAAAGTAAGATATACATTGGGCCTAGTAAGTGAAAAGTGAAAAGAGGGAGAAGTAATGGAGAAAATACGAGGGGGAACCCCGAAAACCAGAATTTATTTATAAAAAATTGTGTATTTATTCTTATATGTTTAAACTTCAGTCACCTTAAAAGTATTCTTTGTTTGATGCAATACACCTATTGGGATGCTTTTTCCACTGCTCAAAACGGTTTTTGAACTCATCAATTTTAATGCCTTTTAGTACTTCTGCTGTTTTTTGTTTCACCTCTAGCAAAACTTTGAGAATTTTTTTTCATCCAGGGCAACAAAATAAAGTCGCTTGGGGTGAGATTGGGTGAATAGGGATGGTGGGACATTGGGAGTCATGCCGTTTTGGGTCAAAAACTGCTGAACATTCAGCAAGGTGTGGGCAAGTTGTTTGTGTAAATTATCCAACATGAAATGGGCAAACTCACTGAAAGAATCTAAAAAAAAAAAAATCACTGAAGCTGAATGCAGCCTCTCACAACAACACTAGCCAGTATACTGAGGCTGATGGGTTCCTAGAACACTTACCCAGCAGGGGAAGCCTGTACTACAAGGGGCCCACCCTCCAAAAAATAATTCCAGTTTTTTGGGGGATTCTTCCCTCATAATTACTCTGATAGACCTTACTACTGTAGTAACTGTCGTGAACACAAGTATTCTTTGAAATTGAAGAATTATTTGAACCCCTGGTAGCCTACTGAAAGACATGTGTCCTGCATCTCAACCCTATATGTAAACTAAACAACTAAATAAGATCATGAAACTAATACTAGGTACCCTATAGGACTTTTGTGCTTCCCTCAGAGCCAGAGGAGTATGCTCAGGCAGTCTCTCCCATAGCTTCTGCCAGCTGGCTTTCTTTTTTCTCCTTGGGGAAGAATCAAGCAGATGAAGGGGATAATTCTAAATGCTTTTCTAATTTAAAATTAACCCAAAGAAGTGAGTATATGCTATACTAAAAGTCAGACTTCCTCTCAGCTTAACATGGAGTACTATTATTTTTTTATACTTGGCACCAAACCAAAGTGATCTCCCCCCACTATACACAAGCATCACCCTTCTCCCCACCCTCAAAGCCCAGGATGTTCCAGACAACATAATGAACCACATGGTTGGGAATGATTCATATGTTTCCATTCTTCATCCAAAAATGAGCAAAAATAATTTCCACTTAATTTATCATCAGAATTTTCTGCACATTTCCTAAAATATTAAAGGGGAATCTATTCAAAATCTGGCCTTTCTTTCTTTAAAAATTACTAATTAGTCACAGACTAAAGGATCTTTTGGTAAAATACTTCTGTGTTCCATCCATCCCTGGAAATTAGGGCTATAACTGCATGATGCCAAATATCTAATCAATCATCCAATGATTTCATGTTTTCCATGTTTTCCAGTGTTTCCAGTGTTTCCAGTGTTTTCAAATAGCTGGTGTTCTGTAGATACAGGCTCACCCTATCCAGTCTTTTTGTTATCTCAACAGTGTATATGGATGCAGATTTTTTCTATTTAAAATATTTCTCAAGGCCAATGCCTTATTATACTGCCAACACCTGCCAAGTACATGGCAGAGATTGTTCTATCCTCTCTGTATCCCCCACTCTTCCTATAATCCCGCCCCTATCTTTTGCCCTTAGGAAGCTGTAAATATGTGCAATCTGTCCTTTCCTTGATGCCATTCACCATTTATCTATGATTCATGAAATTTGCAGTGCCGGAACATAAAGTTAAGTTTCAAATCACTTTTCATGGGGAAAACTTAGGTCCAAAACAAAGTGGCAGCAGGTTACAGGAGAAAGGATAGCTAACTCAATATAGAGGCTGAGTTACAGTTCCAGCTCTCCTATTACTAACCAGTTCTGTGACTTTGGCCAAATCGTGTAACCCATCAAAGTCTCAGTTTATGTAACTTTAAAGTACAGTACTTTTACTAGACCAAATCAAACACCTGACATTTTATCATTCTAAGAACTGGAGTCAATTAGATTATTCTCCCCTGCAGCCTTGATATAAATGAGAGTAATGATTTCACCTTGAGTGAAATAAAAAACTAAACACTGAATTTTATACAAGTTTATAAATATTAGTAATTAAATATTAGCAATTAAATCATAACCAAAAGAGACACAAATTATGGTCAGTGTGACTAGTCTCAATATTACTTGCAATAAATTGCAGAAGGGAAAATGTATCCTACTTGGAGTACTACTACCCTCACATCATATTTTTTTACATAAGTGACGAAGAATTTTGCAGAGCATAGCAGAAGGAAAATCTCTACTTCCTTCTTGTCCTTCGTTTATCCCTTCTGGATCTTTCTTCTAGCTTGATTTATGTACTTAGGTCATATTTTGGTGGTAATTTTACTATTTGTTTAAACATTTTTTTCCTGGAACCTCTGTTAAGTAATTCCCTTCTTAAGAGAAATTATGCCACATAGCAAGCAAGCAATTGGGATAAAACAATTTTCTGGATCTGACATTTGTTAACATCAATGTGAGGTAGGACAGCTTTAAAAACAGGCACTTAGACTTGCACATAAATATTATATGACAAAACAACTTCAGAGAGCTCTGTCCACTGAACACAATGAAAGACTAGAAACTTATAAGGTGGGGACTGTAAATAAGTACTTCAGTCTATAGCCCATAATAATGAATACTGGTACAAAATTTGGTACTGAATTAAATACTTATTGCCTTCAGTTTAAATTTTTGGTTCAGATGTTTGATTATCTCTCCTGATTTTGTGGTACACTGAAGTTTCTTTCATATTTGCTTGCTTTATTTTGTTTTTAAAGGCAGGCTTAGGATCAGCCCTGTGTTAAGTGCTTAACGGCCATTTATAATGGCCAATGCCAAACGTGTTTCTTTAGTGTACTGAGTATGCAAACACAAACACACACAAAGTCCTCCACAAAAATCTCTCACCTACATAGATACACTCAGACACCTCCACCCACACCTACACATAGATACACTCAACCTTCCCATTGCTATATACATGCATATGCAAATCAGGACACAAACTCATTGTAGTACACCGGCACAGATACTGACATACTTAAAGAAAAGGTGACACGATCATAGCAAAGATATGTAATATGCAATGTATCTGACAAAAGAGAGAGGGTGCTGTTTCCACAGGTGGACTAATGGTGAGGCAGGCCATGGGCGGGCTAACTCTCCCAGAATTGGTCAGAAGTGTATGAATGCAAGCAGATTTATATAACAGATGAGATACGTTCCAGTGAGAGCATGCAGGTTAGTAGGTTATTTGTCATGAGAATAACTTGAAGTTAACTCACTTATCATATAGGAAAAGTGAACCATTTTATTAGAACTTGCTAACTCTACAACTGTGTATTAAGAGACAAAGTTGCATAAAGGAGATTCCCCAGATTCCTTACCTTGAGTTTCTCAAATCGATCATTCAGAGATGCAACCTGATGATCTCGGTGACGACCCACCAGTTTGCATAAGGCACAGATCAATTGGTCATCAGAAACACAGTACATGTTCACTTTCTCATTCTCATGGTCCAGGCAGGTGATCCCTCGAAGATGTGTATCTGGCACTGGTTCTACCAGGCGGTGGCTGGTGAAAGGTTTCTTGTTGGGGTGTGTGGCCCGCAGGCAACGGTCACAGTAGGAGACCTCACAGGTGATGCATGTTTTCACTGCATCCCTTGGCGGGTCCTGCTCACAGAATTGGCAAGCAATTCGCTCACTAGACATGGCGGTGCTGGGCCTATAAGTCCTCTCCCGGCGGCTCTCACTTGGGGAATTGGGCCCACTTACTGAAGCCTTCTGGAAGCGATCGATAATGTTCTGTAGGGTTACATTCCTTTTGAGTCCTTCCAGGCCCCGGTGGTTCAGTGAGATAACATACCTGCAGGTAGGACACTGGAAAGCAGTAATGGGTTCAATGGATTCACCAGAGCTGCAGCTTGAGACCAAGATGCGATGGGCACAGCTGAAGCAGAGGCTATGAGCACAAGGGAGGAGAAGGGGATCTTCAAACAACTCTAGGCAGATTGGACAGGTCAATTCAGACTCCAGTGTTTCCATCTTTAGTGAAAATAATTCTGCTGGGGCATTAAGAACCACAGAGGCTGGGCTTTCACCTGCAAGGAAAAGAAAGCAAAAGCCATTAAGCATTTCCAAAGAAAAAGTAAATATAGCATAATTATGCACAATAGAACCTTTACATACTGGATTCCCCAGGGATGCTTGAGCAATAGGAAAGCAACTTAAGAATTAATCGGAAAGCTTTTCTTTCCCTTCAGACCTTGTTTTTGACAAATGCCTGAGTTTATTTTCCTGCACTAATAAATAGAACCAACTGGCCACCTCTGAATCCTGGTTGACTGATTAACATTACCATTCCAGCTCACAACATTGGAATGGATTGTTCTCCCACATATTTTCCACTGACATCTCTTTCCTGGGCTGTGATGAGGCTGAGACCCTGAAAAAAATTCTCAATCTCTATTCGCCAATATAGTTCTCTATTTTACTTCAAGGTAAAATATAGGGGCTGCTCCTACTTCAAATCCAGTGGAAGGAAAACAAGGTCATATTTTAAACTAACTCTCTACCTCCTGAAATGATTCCATTCTGAGAACCTGCATAAAAAAGAAGAAAGAGCTTTAGAAAAATATAGTTCTTCCTTCAGACTGTGAACCCGAATTATTTCTTATTATCACACATGGAAATTTCTGTTCCATCACATTTCTAGTAAACCAAGTTACTAAAGACAAAAGATGTTAGTTTCCACTTTCACTTTCTTCCCTTACCTTCAAAAAACCCTTCATTTCATCAAGCCGAATGGGGAATGATTTCAACTTTTTTCTTTTTACTTACTCAGCAATAGTTACTGATCAATGATAAGATCATATTACCTGTGGCTTCAGTTTGATTTTACTATTAAACACCTGCTGAATTAGCACAAGCCTGCTATGAAGCTCACCTCCCATGTGACTTTTCCTACTTCCTAAAACATAATAGGATGCAAATCAAGATCTAGGTAGTGTGCATTTTAGTGTGCATCAAAGAGTCAAGTCACTCAATGACAAGACACTAACCTTTTGGTCAGTCTATTCTCCCACAGGCATTTCTGAGCTAAACACACAGCTTAACTGCCATGAGTCTTCCATTAATTAAAATCCACAAACGCAAATATCCTAAGTTGGCTTTAATCAAGGAAAAATATAAAACATATCTTATTGACTGAAAATATTAATCCTTTATATAAGGAAGAGAAAGGCATCTTTTGCTTTTAAGAAGCTTTTTTTCATCATCTTACCATAACTGGAGACCCTCATCAGGGCTTGAAACAATGATTCTGCATTGATTGATTTTTAGATATTGTCATTTGTCAGTGATATTGGCATACCTCACAAGACACATAAATACTTGGTGCAATTATATCTTGTGCATAAGTACAAAAGATGTATACCTAAAAACTGTTCCTAAATCAAGTCTTTTCAGTGCACCGAACTAACTAACTATTTAATGAAAATCTACAGGAAATTGGGCTGTAAAAATGAATATTTTTTTTGTATATCAGTCACTCTCAATTGGTTTAGTATGTTCAGATGCTTGTATACCACTTTTTTTAAAAAGTGAGAGAGACATGTTATTTTTATTTTACAATTTACAAGTGCTTGAAAATTGTTAATCAGTATTTTGTAGCTTATAACATCTATCAGCATTCACCTATAGAAAAAGAAAAGGAAAAGTAAACAATTAAAATACATATATCATTAAATCGTAGGATTGGAAGAGACTTTAGAGATGAAAGATTCCAACTTCCACTGAAGGTAAGAATACTGCCTTACATAGCTCCACCTGATATATACTTAAGATACTCAAATTCAACATGTCCATAAGGAAACTTGTTATGCTCCCCCTTCAACCCCACAGAAAAAACAAAAAACAAGAAAACCACCTGCCCCTCTTCTGATTTTCCCTATCAGGTGAATATCACTATCCAAGCCTAGAAACCTAGGAGTTCTCTCTTTTACATGTTTATAATCTCAACCACTGGTGTCTTCTAAAACATTCTATTTCATTTATTTTACATATTTGTGTCTCCAGCTAGCTCTCCCTACTCCTTGAAGGTATTGTCTACTTTATTCACAGCATGGTGCTCACAAAAACTAGGTACTGTACTCAATAATTAAGTTTCTCTTAGACTAGAAGTAAGAAGAAGAGATCTAGCATTTATTGAGCACCTCCCGTGTTCTGAGTACTGTGTTAAGCACTTTGCACAGTACTTAACTAAATTATTACATAAAACCTGTGAGGAAGTTACTATTACTATATCAGTCTTAGTTAGGAAATTGGGGCTTAGAGCCACTCAATGAATCAACCAGGAACATATATACCCAAAGCACAAGTATGTCTAATACCGATGTCTGTGCTCTTTCCCCTACGCCTTTATTTCAATCATCTCACTTCCTTCACTGACGTTTATCTTGACTACTTTCAAGAGGATTTCTAAAAAGCATGTTTCCACTTCTATTTTTGTCTTTCTGTGTCCCTCTGAACTTCTCTGAATCTGCCTACCTCATTCTTAGTCCCTTCCAGAATCATATATCTTTCTTCTAAGCCCATCTCCATCTCACACTGCACTTCTTTTACCATCTCTTCTAGAACTATATGTCTGCATTCCTCATTGTCTGTGTTGGAAGCTACCTGCGTTGGTCAGAAATATTACTACAAGACATATCTATGTGTTGAAACATATATAAAAACAGTTAGAGTACCACAGCTTTCCTAAATCTTAAGAAGGTGCGATATAAATTTTTCTGCGCAGAGGAAAAAAACTCTTCAATTTTGCATGGGACTCTGAAACGTGTTCCTCAGTAAGTGTGACACTTGAACCTCACTATGAAATTAAGCTTGGGAAAGCATGTTATGGGTCAGGATTGCTTTAGGTAAGGTTAACATATGAGTTCTAACCAGGCACTTTTGAACTTCCTAGAACTGTTTGCAGAGTGTTGTGTGTATGACATTTATGCATTTTTCTGGGGAGAAGGCTGTGCATAACATTCAAAAGATTCTCAAGAGTTCTTGACAGAAAAAAAGTCAAACACCAGTGTGCTAAAATAACCTTAACTGATTTCCGCCTTAAAGAGAATATTATAAGATGGTTACTGTCTATTGCTTATTATAAGTAGTTTTTCTATACTACTTTAGTAGCTACTTTAGCCAATGATGGGGAATTGAATAATTTTTTTCAACTTCTTCAAACACTTGTTCAATCATCTCTCATTTATGAGGCCTTCTTTTTCTGGGTACTCCTATTATTTCAGCATCTTTTCGATTCTCCCTCATTTCCCCTGATTATCTAAATGCTTTATAAAACACTTTATATGCATTATCTCATTTACTTTTCACAATAACTCTCTAAAAGGTAGATACTATTATTACCAAAAATATAACTTGTCAAAGGTCATACTTGTTTGCAAGTAGCAAAACTGAGTCAAATTTGAGCTACAACTCTAGAAATAAACACATATATTTATGGTCAACTGATTTTCGATAAGAGTTCCAAGACCATTCAATGGGGGAAGGAATAATTTTTTCAACAAAGATTACTGGAACAACTGAATATCCACATGTAAAAGGATAAAGTTGGAGCCCTACCTCATGCCATGTATAAAAAATTTACTCAAAATAGATCAATGGCCTACATGTAAGAGCTGAAAATATAAAACTCTTGGAAAGAAATATAGACACAAATCTTTATGAACTTAAATTAGGCAGGTAACAGTTTCTTTGATGACACCAAAAGCACAAGCAACCAAAGAAAATATAGATAAATACTACTTCATCAAAATTTAAAACTTCAGTGTTGCAAACAATAACATCAACAATGTGAAAAAATAACCACAGAATAGGAGAAAATATTTGCAAACCATATTTCTGATATGAATCCAGTCTCTAGAAATATACAGAACTCTTACAATTCAACAATAAAAAAGACAAATAATACAATTTTAAAATGGGCAAAGGATTTGAATAGACATTTCTCCAAAGAAGATATACAAATGGACAATAAGGTCATGAAAAGATGCTCAACATCATTAGCCATTAGGAAAATGTAAATCAAAACCACACTGAAATACTATTTCACACTCACGAAGATGGTTATAATAAAACAAAACAAACAAAAACCGAAAAACAGCACGAATCAACCAGGCTGTGGAGAACTTAAAACATTTAAACATTGCTAGTGAAAATGTAAAATGGTGCAGCTGCTTTCCAGGAAATAGTTTGGCAGTTCTTCAAATAGTTAAATGTAGAGTTATCATGTGACCTAGCGAGTCCACTGCTAGGTATATACCCAAAAGAACTGTAAACGTGTTCACTTAAAAAACTGTACACACTGTAATCCCAGCACTTTGGTAGGCTGTGGCAAGTGGATTGCCTGAGCCTGCAGGTTTGAGACCAGCCCGGGAAACTTGGTGAGACCTCCTCTCTACAATAAATAAAAAAATTAACCAGGCATAGTAGCATGTGCCTGTAGTTCTGGCTACTTGGAAGGCTGATGTGGAAGGATTTCTGGAACCCAACAGGTCAACGCTGTGGTGACTATGACCATGCCACTGCACTCCAGCCTGGGCGACGGAGTGAGACTCCAACTCAAAAAAAAATAAAAAATTGTACACATATGTTCATAGCAGCAGTATTTATAGTAGCCAACAGGGAACAACCTAAATGTCCATCAATTGATGAATGGTTATACAAAATATGGTATATATTCATACAATGGAATATTACTTAGCTATAAAAAGGAATGAAATATGGATACATGCTGCAATATCCTTGAAAATATTGGTCCTTTAAAACCTTATACTAAGTGAAAGAAGTCAGTCACAAAAGGTCACATATTGTATGGTGCCTTTCATATGAAATGTCCAGAATAGGCAAATTCATAGGAACAAAAAGTAGATTCGTGATTGCCAGGGACAAGGGGTAGGGGTTCGGGGGAAGGATGGAGAATGATGAGTGACTGCTAACAGGTATGGAGTTTTGGGGGAGATAATGAAAATGTTCTGAAATAAGTAGTAGTAATTTGCAGAATTTTGTGAATATACTAAAAACCACTGAAATG